GAGGTTCTGTGGCGTACATGCAGTAAGTTTAAACTACAGTTGGTGTTAATTACTATACCATACAAATAATAGCAGAGGGACACCTTTCCGTTCATTAGACGTACATGCAGTAAGTTTAAACTACAGTTGGTGTTAATTACTATACCATACAAATAATAGCAGAGGGACACCTTTCGTTCATTAGACGTACATGTAGTAAGTTTAAACTACAGTTGGTGTTAATTACTGTACCATACAAATAATAGCAGAGGAACACCTTTCGTTCATTAAGACGTACATGTAGTAAGTTTAAACTACAGTTGGTGTTAATTACTATACCATACAAATAATAGCAGAGGGTAATGAACGAAAGGTGTTATACTTTCTTCAATGCAAAAAAAAAAAGTTATTGTAAGTAATTCTTAGCTTTAATTGTTTTTGGCAAACATAATTCAAGATCATTATTTAAATGAATATTTAGTTCATAAATCTTATAGTCTACTAACCATTGGGAAGATCTTCTTCTAAAAACAATACAACTATGTATAAATATTTGTAAAGTCTAAGTGAGAGAACAATACAACAATGTATAAATATTTGTAAAGTCTAAGTGACAGAACAATACAACAATGTATAAATATTTGTAAAGTCTAATTGAGAGAACAATACAACAATGTATAAATATTTGTAAAGTCTAAGTGACAGAACAATACAACAATGTATAAATATTTGTAAAGTCTAAGTGACAGAACAATACAACAATGTATAAATATTTGTAAAGTCTAAGTGACAGAACAATACAACAATGTATAAATATTTGTAAAGTCTAAGTGACAGAACAATACAACAATGTATAAATATTTGTAAAGTCTAATTGAGAGAACAATACAACAATGTATAAATATTTGTAAAGTCTAGTTGAGAGAACAATACAACAAGAGAGTTTGTTTGTTTTTGCGTAAGGCTACACAACTAGATATTTGCACGCTGTCCCCCACAGGGAATCGAACCCCGGATTTAAGTTCGTAAACTTACCGTTGATCCACTCACTAGTAGACCGTAAGGGAGAGAAAATTTTATCGTTGTCCTTGTTACTTAGACCGAAACGTAAAGTTTTAGTTTCCTTAATTCGAGCATATAATACAACCAGAAACATCTAACCTATTGACAGGGGCGAAACTTTCTTTTTAAAAGTGAGGGGGGGGGCGTTTCGTGAAACTGGAGTATAAAAGAGGGTATTCTCTAAAAAAATAAACGAGAAATAAAAAGTTTATTTTCTTTGTTGATTTTCTTTCCTTATATTAATGCAAACATTCACTAAATATCAGTAAAATCAACATTTACAGTCTTTTAAAGCTTTCAATGATCTAGTAACATACTTACAACAGGACCAGTTTGTCATAATACACTTTACACAATACACAGGTATCAATACAACTTATTAAATAGTAATGACACTTACATCAGTAACACTTAGGGTAACTCGAGGAAAGCAAAATAAATCAAATTGTTGATGTAATGATTGTTACAGTATAATCTTTAGTTAAAATATGATCCAGTTAAAATGTCTTTAAAAAAAGGAGGAACGAAACTGTGTTTGTGTTAGTCTTTGAATATAAATAAGTATTATGTACAATAAGTTTAATATATTATCTGTACCTCTATGTTATTGTATACATCTTGACTGCTGTAGCAGGTGAACTTTCTATGTATTAATTCCTAATTTTCTACAACTTATACAAATACTAGTTCTCTGACCTGGATTTGCACAGTATGGCAATATCAAGAATGGTACCCTTGTTATGAAAATTCCTGTTTTGGTATACAGATCAAATAACCATAACTATCGTAGTAAAATAAATAGAAGCATAACTGTATTTGCCTTTAGAAGAAAACACAGTACAATTCAATTCTAACAATACCCCTCTTTTTTTGAAGGGTAACCTAAAATGGACGGCAACTGCCTGTTGTAAAAACACAAATGTGGAAGACGGAAGACTTTTGAAACGTTGTCCTCTACCCTTGTGTTTTTTACAACAGGCAGTTGCTGTCCATTTAAGTTTACTTACCATGAATAATGTGCCTAAACAATCTATCAAAGAATACCTCTTTTTCCTTTCGCCGTAGCTTGACCTATTGTATAGTTAACTTTCAAATTGTCTTTACCAATCAGTAGATAACAAGAACTCCCTTGTTTTCTAAAGAAAATGTCCAAAAATAATCCTGCGCTGGTCATTTGCAGCAATAAATTACTAGCAGGGTGTTCTCCTTTCCAAGGGATCGCTAGTCATTCGCAGCAATAAATTACTAGCAGGGTGTTCTCCTTTCCAAGGGATCGCTGTTCATTTGCAGCAATAAATTACTAGCAGCGTGTTTTCCTTTCCAAGAGATCGCTGGTCATTTGCAGCAATAATTTACTAGCAGAGTGTTTCCCTTCCAAGGGATCGCTGGTCATTTGCAGCAATAATTTACTAGCAGAGTGTTTCCCTTCCAAGGGATCGCTGGTCATTTGCAGCAATAATTTACTAGCAGAGTGTTTCCCTTCCAAGAGATCGCTGGTCATTTGCAGCAATAATTTACTAGCAGAGTGTTTCCCTTCCAAGAGATCGCTGGTCATTTGCAGCAATAATTTACTAGCAGAGTGTTTCCCTTCCAAGAGATCACTGGTCATTTGCAGCAATAATTTACTAGCAGAGTGTTTCCCTTCCAAGGGATCGCTGGTCATTTGCAGCAATAAATTACTAGCAGGGTGTTCTCCTTTCCAAGGGATCGCTAGTCATTCGCAGCAATAATTTACTAGCAGAGTGTTTCCCTTCCAAGAGATCACCAGCGATCCCTTGGAAAGGAAAACACGCTGCTAGTAAATTATTGCTGCAAATGACCAGCGATCCCTTGGAAGGGAAACACCCTGCTAGTAAATTATTGCTGCAAATGACCAGCGATCTCTTGGAAGGGAAACACTCTGCTACTAAATTATCGCTGCGAATGACTAGCGAACCCTTGGAAAGGAAAACACCCTGCTAGTAAATTATTGCTGCAAATGACCAGCGATTCCTTGGAAGGGAAACACTCTGCTAGTAAATTATTGCTGCGAATGACCAGTCATTTGCTGCAATAAATTACTAGCAGCATGTTTTCCTTTCCAAGGGATTAAGTTGTTCTTGATGAATGTGTCAAACGGCCACATTGTTCAGGCGACTTTGTTTCACAGAATTTCGAAGCCAGGTCTTTAGTCTTCTAAGAGCACAGAAGTTCCTCTCAGCGTCAGCAAAGAAGGCAGGGACAACTACCAGTAACATCACACGGGCCTCAACCCAATCAAAAAGGCCGCGGACCTCAGCCAGCACGTCCCTCAAGATGTTTGCAGCTTCAGTGCTTGAATTGTAGGTGTATTTTGAGATGAGCATGGCTAACCGCACAATATAATGACTCTGGGTATTGGCCCACAACATCGTCAGTCCCTCCAGTGAGGATAACTTTCCCCAGTTTTCAAGAGTCTGCAAGTCTGTCTGGTCAAAAATCTCTCTAAACTGTACATCTACAGTGTCTGGCAGCTTGTAGTACTCAGTTGTATAGTATTATAAAGGAGGTGCTACAATTTTACCAGTAAAGTATATGGGTGTTTATATCATGTGCAGCATTGGAATTGGCTGGATATTCAAGGAGTTGATTAATCCTGTCGTTTTGTTGTATACTTTGCTAAAGCTTTCCTCTGTTTTCTCGAAGGGAGGTTTTGACACACTCCATTACAGCAAGCATTCCAGCAATGATTTGTGTTCTCTTTAGGAAAATATATGTTCAATACCTCCATCACTTCAGTGGCTAGAATTAGTCCTAAGACCGTTTTCCCCTTTTAAATCTTTCCAGAAGTCTATTTGCTTTAGTTGCTGAATCTGATGTACTAGATGAAGCCATCTCTTCCAAACTAAGCAACACTGACTTGTACTAGTTGAGCACTGATTGAATGGGTGGGGTATGAACAATCCACTTGTGGAGCACAGTGGTTTCTAGTTGAACACTGATTGAATGGCTGGGGTACGAACAATCCACTTGTGGAGCACAGCAGTTTCTAGTTGAACACTAATCGATTGGCTTGGGTACAAAAAATCCACTTGTGGAGCACAGCAGTTTCTAGTTGAACACTGATTGAATGGCTGGGGTACGAACAATCCACTTGTGGAGCACAGCGGTTTCTAGTTGAACACTAATCGAATGGCTGGGTACGAACAATCCACTTGTGTAGCACAGCGGTTTCAAAGTAGTGCAGGATCCATTCTCAGACTTTTATATTGCCTCAAACATTTCCTTGAATTTCCCCATTTGTCCAAACAAGCTTCCCAACTCATGAACCCACTGCAAAGAATTCCAAATCACAGGAGAGGCTGTACAAGCTGCCTGAGTAATGAGATTTACACAATGAGGACTACAATGGACAAAAAGCTCGTGGCTGTTCTTTTCTAAGAAATGCCTGTGCACTAGAGTATTTGTTTGACGTATTTGTAGCACCATTGTATGTTTGCCCATGAAGACTAGAAAGGGGAAGACTGAGGTGGGGTAAGAAATCAGTGGCAACTTTGGATATTCTTTCTCCTGTATTTTATAGAGACCTACAAATTCTTCATGTGACATCAGATCTCGATATACATAGCAGAAGCAGATTGACTCTTGTTCAGTGCCAAATATATGTTGTGTTCCACCAATTATCACTGAATATTGCAGTAGGGGCAAAGAACTGATTTGCTTTACATCTCTCACAATGGAATTGACCATTAAACTCAGGATTTTGTTTTGAATTCTAGATCAGCTATAATCCTGATTACCTGTCAGCCACATAGAGAGTTTGGGATCATCCTCTGACCTCAACTTCAGCAGCTGACTTAGATTTTCTTTCTTTTCCTCGTGACCTCTAAAAGCCAATCTTAACCATGCCAAAAACTGCACTATGCTTACTATCTTCAACAGGCAAGATTTTCGCCTCCTGTTGCTATGACGCTAAAACACTAGAGAACTGGGTGTCTACTAGTTTTGCCCCATGAGTTGTCACCGCTACCTTACGTGATTGACAATAAAACACGCTTTAGAAACCTCTCTAGGGCTTTTTTTTTCTATTTCTAAATCCTGAGGATACAAATGTATGTTCTACATTTTTGGTGCTCGGTGACTTTTTGCCTCTGAAAGCTTTTGTGCGATGAAAACATAAAATCCCTTTCAAACAAGGATACATTTGTACTTTCATAATCTGTAACTTATAAATAGTAATCATGGTTTCCAGGTTGAATCTCCATGAGATTTAGTAAATGGGAAAAATAATATTTACTTATATCGAGTAAGTTTATTAAACGAGAATAGTTATACACTCACATATAAAAAAAAACAACAAAGACCACATTGACATTGCCACCTAAACCTACACGCATAGAAATCCTTCTTTTGTACAACAAATTGAACAATATGTTTTCGACATTAATATCCTAAATTCCTACCTTTATACTATTAGGATTTTATTCCTTTATGTTTTAATTTTCTTATGCCTTAATGATAAAAAACTTTATTTGCTTCCTGACTGTAAAAAAGCACTAACCATACTGAATTGTGTGACAACAAACTCCCAACCAAAACAAGAACATAAATCAAAACTAGGTCTAGATGGCACTATTGTCCTAAAAAATAAACAAAAATAAGAATACAAACATTTATTTTCAAAAAACTATAATTCTGCTCCTACAATGACTTTTATAATCGGTTTTAAAAATATCCTTAACTCATTGTTTTACACCAACAGTATAAACAAACACTTTTTTAATATTAGATCCTCTTGTTCACACAGATATATGAGATTTACAGCAGTGAAATCATGGACATAATTTATCTAACTTTACCAGCATTTCAAAACCATACGTTTAGCTCGCTAGACAGATGATTCTTCCTTGTCTGCTGTTGACCAACTGCCTGTCTGTTTCAAACACTCCACGCAAGCTGCGCCACGAGTGAGGCAGTTGCAATATTACGCAAGTTTCCGCAAGGTCCTGGTGCAGAGTTCGTTTGTTGTGACAATTGATTTTGCTTCAAAATAATTGAGAAGAAAATAATTAAACCAAAAAATATCATATATCTGTCGTCTAAAATGTGTGGGGGATGATTTCTCACACTCCAAAAAGTGGGTGGGACATGTCACACGCCCATAAATTACGCCTGTGCCTGTTGAAGTATGTCATTATTTTCTATTTTTTCAGAGTCCCTTCGGAGCAACAGGGTATGGTTCTACCAGATACAGAAGAAGAACAAGATCAAGAGAACAACGACACCTGGAATGAACAAGGTATGGGAAAACGGAAGTCATCTGTTTGGACACTTTTTGGCGGGAATATCACCAGACGCAGGAGTCGCGGTGATAGTCTTGAGGATATCGAAAGAAATTCTCCGGGACATTCCACAGATATTGACTCCATTAAATCCTCAGGTACCTGGGGGTAAGATTCTCCCCCTTTCTATCCCGTACGTACCTCAAAATATACGTAAGATTACAAATAAGCTTTCAGAAATCAGTTCTGTTGATTCTGGTAATTCGATTTAATAAACACATATATGTTTCAAGTGAAATTTTATAATCACTGCGATAAATAACGAAGAAACAGATAATATATTTAAATATTATTTACATTCAGTTCTCAATTTCTAAAAGAATAAAAAAAATGTACCAGATTTCTGTTGACGGGGGTGGGATAATTTTAAGTTTTGAATATAATAATTTAAACGTTATTAAGGCTATTATTTGGGGTGGGGGTGAAGTGGAGTAATGTAGTTAACCACGTCAATCAAATATTAATTAGCAATGCCCCCCAGGGACAGATTTATAATTATAGCGTTACCAGGGGCTTTTACAGAAAACTAATAATGGCTGGATAAGTTCCGTATTTCATGAAATACTGAAAAATATCAGACGATATTTAAGTTAATATCTCCTTTTAAATATTGTCTCCAACCAAGATAACTTTAGTTGGTTGTAAAAATCGAAACATTTGGTGGATTCGAGTACAGGTTCTGTAGATCACGCTGTAGTTAACCGTTTGAGCTCCTGATTTTTTTCATTTACTTATTCTATTATTTAATTTGATTTAAGACTTGTTTAGAAGCATGGACACTCCCAGTGATTTTAAATTATATTTATTTTATTAAATTGTTGCAAAAACAAAAATGGAGAAATATAAACTTGTTCATTTATCCGTTATAAATGGGTTTTACTCAGGATTGGTGAGATTTAGGCTTTAAAATCCTCAATATGGGAGGTGGTTGAGTGAATTCATCATATTTTGTATGGAAGGGTTATAAAGAATTAATTTTATAATGTAAGATTACTACGGTAGAGGGAGTCACTACCGTACCTACTATCGGCTGCAAATGGTGAATGCTCGTCTATCTCTAAGCCTATAAAGTTATGGGTTTAAACATGTGGGATTTTTTTTTTTTTCATCTGTCATGACGAGTTTTTCAGGATATTTGAAATAGGATACTTGCAACGCTTTTTGAGTGCTACTACCGAGCTTATCTTTCTGAAATTATACTCTCACCAGTGTTCCGCAATGAGTATAGTTTATCCTATATGTTTGTGGTGTACTGCACGAACTTAATTTTACTGTTTATCTCTGGCTTATGGTGCAGTATTTTTCACCAGTTTGCTGTACATGATGATATATTTAATTTTTAAGTTTTATAATTCTAAAAATACACACACGTATATATATATATATATATATATATATTATTTGCATTATACAGATATTCTGGACCAGATGAAGTGGTATCTGTCAAGGATTTGACGAATCATAACATCAGAGATTCTCCGTACCAAACACTGTTAAATAAAACAAATAATTCAAACAAAAATACAAGTAATGGTTTACAGCAAACTCCAAGGCAGTTGTCTGTTCTTGAAAACATCGTTCTTCAATTATCTCCAAAAGGCCCTCGAAAATACGCCAAAAGATTTAAAGCATTTACTCCAACTACAAGCACAAACCAGCAAAGGCTGCAACCAATTAAAGGACATCGTCAACCGGTCGTCGGTTCCTCTTCTCTGGAATCATCGCCGTCGACTGGATATTTTGCCAATTCAATGCTCAATCTTCGCGAAAAAGGAACCCCAAGTTTTAATTTTACAAAATCAACACCAAATCTTCCAAATTCCGGCAAGCATCATCAATCAAAATATTTATATCATACTGATTTGGAAAACCAGTCATCTCCGAAACCCGAGACCGAAATAAAACGGTCTTCTTTCCAAAGAAGATCAACGAAGAAGCAAATTCGCCCACTGCCGACTAGCCATGTTTCTTGTGAAGGCACTGTGAGATGTTTAAGTCTTCCGGATATAACGGATACTGTTGCAGCGAGAGAAGTTTCTATGGATGACTTTAACAAATGTAGATGGAGGAGTGAAACAGATTTAGTTGATATAACCCATTCTTCTACATTCTCAAGTGACGATCTCAGGTATAAAGTTGCCCCCGTGACAAGAAGAATAAAACGACGTCGTTTTACTCTAGAACCACACCAACCGCCTGGAACCAGTTTTCAGAGGGACCAACACGGACTTGTACAGCAAGCTAGCATGACACCAGATCACTGTGATTTACCCAAAGTTTCCAACGAGACTTCTTCAAAAACACTATGGACAATCGTTAAAGAAATTCAAAATAAACAATGGTTTTAACAGCAGAAAATATTATTGGACTAGTACAAATATTGAATGATAAAATTCTTCTTGGATGCTCATGTCGAATTATGAATAAATTCAGCTAAACCAATATCCCGTTTTGATTTACACAATAAAAATAATTTTATTTGAAACCAGTCTACATTCTCACATGTACTCGACACTAACAAGCACATTACACTGTTTACACTTTCTATTCGGTCATGTGATATCTTAATTTATATGTTTCTCACAGAATATCGCGCCATCTACATACTTTCTGCCCCATTAATCCCTCATCATACATTATAATTTTTCTAAAATTTAATCACTTCCAATGATTCACGAATACTTATGGTATTGCCATTTTTTGGGTATGAGATTTTTTTTTCCTCATTGGATCATGGAGCACATTATCATCATACATTATAATTTTTCCAAAATTTAATCACTTCCAATGATTCACGAATACTTATGGTATTGCCATTTTTTGGGGTTGAGATATATTTTTTTCTTTATTGGATCATGGAGCACATTATTTTGAAAATACCCCCCTTTTTTTACCATTATATCCCTTTTATTAAATAATTATGATTCATTAATTTTATTTATGTGTTCATATACGGAGTACAAACTTTTTATTTAATTTCTCTGGTACATACTGGTGTATAGAAGAGATTTTTAATACTAGAAATAAACGACCTTATAACACCAAATTTGTTATTTTTCTTTAATTGGTCACTCAACGTTTCGCTTTACAGATTCTTCAGGAGCGTTCCATTAAAATATAATTGTTTGTAATTTGTTTGTAACAAAGCTACACAATGGGCTATCTGTGCTCTGCCCACCACGGGTATTGAAACCCGGATTTTAGCGTTGTAAGTCCGCAGACATATCACTGTGCTACTGGGGGGGGGTCAATATGTGAGAAAGTAACAAATATGAGCTTAGCCTCATTTTGCACATTGTGAGGAACAGCACTTTGTGTAAGCTTGAGACGACAGTTTGGAAACACCACACTGGCAGTTTGGAATTTTTGTTTCGACCTCATTGTAAAATATAATAAATAAATAGAAAGCATCGAAAGTGGCTCCACCCATATCAGGAACCAAGTAAGTAACCGAAGCAGTAGAAGGAGGTGCAAAATTTCTTGATGTCAGTGTTGTGTGATCTTATATATATAGCTCTTATCATAGTAAAGAAACAATGTTTGGTCCATTAATGTAACAATACATTGTTATAAAGGCCAAAGTGTTGTAATACAATATTTAATAAGGCTTAGATAAAGATGGAATGGTGACTTGAAATCTACTGTATTTCGTTCAGTCTTATCGATACGTGGATACATTCACTTGCTAATGCTGGGCTATTTAGTTAATTTGATTTTTCAAAAAATTCAATACCAGTCTTAATCGTAAATTCATTCTTTATAAAGATATTGACAAAATGTAATAAAACTAATTAAGTTACAATTACAGTCATCAATATAAAAAACTGGCTAACTGGACAGCTTCTTTTAGATATTAATTAATGAAAGATCGTAGACAATTCTGTAGTATGATCGAAGTGGATGAAGCTGAAAATTGTTATCTAATGTGACTGCTTTTCTGACAGTAAGATCAAAATCTAAAGCTTTGTATTCTGCATTATTAGAAAACGTACTTAAATATCTTCGTCAAATCGTTAGTTTTTTTATTTGAACAATGCTGCACAATGGGCTATCTGCATTGTGTCTCCTGTGGGTATCAAACTTAGTGTTTTACCATTATAAGCCCCGAAGCTTATGGATAAGCCATTGTAGGACTTTATAGTATAAACTAGCGATATGTTAAAAAAATAACTGAAGTATTTCAACTCATCTTTAAATCGAATTTGGAAACTCACCACGTCGTTACAGACATGCTCTCGCTGACAAATCTTCATCTTGACAACAACCCTGAAAAATACGTTCCGCTGTAAAAGTATCCGTTGTAAGGCTACAAAGGCCAAAGCACACGATCTTTCCACTAGTTTTCCGTTATCTATCTACTGGACAAGGACATTGGTTTCTCAGCGTACGTTTCGACTGTCCAATCGAACAGAAATCCATAGGAATGTCTTCGTATGGAATAACATGAATACCAGTTTCATTATCCAACTGCTTGAGGAATGAAACGGTTGAACTGATATTTCATGGAAATTTTGCTCATTAACAAATGATTTGATATTTATTATTGTCGTTAGTCACAAAGTCGTTAAAATGCGAAGTATAGATCGACCCCAAACTGCCCCTTTTGAGATTCAATATTAAAGATAAAGCATAAATAGAATGTAACAGTATTACCGAACCATGTCAGCCACTGAAAACCAAATGGCACTTCACCTTTATATCTTTGTAACCAGTTGTCATGGTTAACTTTGTTATATATGATCGCGAGACAAGCATAGTGCATTAAAAGCAATTTGAAGATTCGGGTGTAGAGTAGGCTTAGCGTGTTGGGTTGCGGAGTGAAGAGTCTGAAATTCAAAATGTGATTCCTTTGAGCATGCGTCACACTTTCAGGTGTAGGCATGTTATAAAAGTGACAACCAATCCCTTTATTTAGTTCAGAAAGTCAGACAAAACACTTTTGGCAGCAGTTACTCCTGACTGCTTCCGTCCCTCCGGTCAGGGAAGGCTATACTTGAACCTAAGGGATCTTTAACCTGACCAATAACTCCACTTAAGAACAACAACTATAAAATAAGTGAGGCTCAGAAACACAGAGCTCTTAATCCTTTGTACACAGTAATTACACAAACCTGAAATGATTTTATTCAAAAAATTTGTTATTCACGTGTTGTTATTTTTTAACACAGAACCACTGATAATATTCCAAGCAATAATACAACAGATGTGAAACATTAATGTTATCTTTTACTTGACAACACCTTAATAATACCTTTGTAACAAATATTTTACAGAATTATTCTGCAACATTCATCCATGTAATAATCCAACTCCCCTCCCCCAGTGGTTCAGCGGTGAGCCTGAAGGCTTATACTAAAAATTGTTGAGTAGCTTTGCGCTTAAACACAAACAAAGTTATGTATCTAATATGTTCTCAGGCTCTGGGTTTAGAGGTGGGGAACTCTAAAAGATAGACCCACTTTTAACTTTCCAAACGAATGTGGGAATTATCTCTTCTTTTTTTTCCCCAAACGCTCACCAACTCACTTCACAGTAGTGATGAGCACTTACAAACAAGAAATTTAGAGATTTGAAGCTCCTTGTGCACAATAATATGCTATTATACAGTCTCGAACTCTCATTAAAGTCTTAATAGATATTTAAAATAAGTTTGTTTTTGTTTTTTTGTTTCAAAACGTATGGACCGAGAAGTGATTAATTTTAAGATGTTCGTCATTAGCACCTACAGTTTTTTTTTCCATCAGCAGACTATCTACAGCAGATTTGGTTATGAATAGGCAAGCAGAAGTACTTTGGATGCTTCTTCCACCAACGTTTCACCCAATACCCATTTATTAAGGTCCATAAAATATTTTTTCTCGTGGCAGCTATACTCCAGATAATTGGTTATAACAGCTGCTGAGTCAGCAGTGCTGACACGTATAAACCACACGTAAAAGAAATTCATACAAAAGTTCAGTGGGACAGGTCCATTACAAGATATATAATGTATACACAGAATAATACTTCATTTAATCTATTTCTTTTGTTGTTTTAATGCACAGAATTAGTGAAATCTGCGTTTTCTTTATAAGTTTTCTAATAAAAACAAAATTTTCATTAAGCTACAAAATGGACTGTATTTTAAAATTTCTATTTTATTTTAAAGAGATTTTCACATGTACATTAAAGGCAACTATGTTTTTACCTGTTTTATTTTGTTGTGTCCTTCCCTTTACAGAATCATAAATTTTGTGGGTAAAAAATTCGAGTTTAGGTTAATCGGGTAAAGCATCTTTTTATATCAGCAAAATGACAATATAATATTAGGTCGTCAAAAAATTAATGTCGCGTTTCGGAACACTTTCATTAGCCACCTATCAAAAAACGTATATCACGTATAATAGTTAAACGAATCGCCTAAACGTCAAGTTAATGTAGCCTATATAACGTGTACAGTTTAATATAATATAATCCCTTATGGTGATGGCACGCGACGAGACACACAAGCAGGGAAACAACACCTCTGGAGCCACAAAAAATATCAAAGAAGTTTATGGAAATGCGTTGAACGTTCGTAAGTGTTAACGATGGTTCAGAAAATTTCGTTCGGGTGATTTTAGCCTTAAAAATTGTGATGGCAGGGGCCGACATGTTGGAATTGATATTGATGCTCCGAAGACGCTTGTTGAGTCCAACCCAAGGCAGCACACTCGTGAAATGGCCCTGAAATTGCATGTTTCTCATGAAATAATACGTAAACATCTAAGGAATATAGGAAAATTCCTTAAAGAAGGTGTTTGGGTTCCTCGCGAACTCTCCGATGATCATCGTTTCCAGCGTGTGAACGTTGCTTCGTCTTTTCTGGTGTGTAATGCGCGTGAACCATTTTTTGACAGAATTGTCACCGGCGATGAAAAATTTGATTCTCTATGCGAATATTAAACGCTAAAAACAATGGCCCAGTCCTAGACAAAAACCACTTCCGACCCCAAAACCTGGACTCCATCTGCAAAATATGATGCTTTGCATTTGGTGGTACATCAAAGGAGTTATTCATTTCGAACTCCTCAATCCACAGCGAACTGTCAATGCAGAGATCTATAGTCAGCAACTGAAACGTTTAAATCAAGCCCTTCATCAGAAACGCCCTTCACTCGTCAATCAGAAAGGTGTTCTTCTCCACGACAATGCACATCCACATGTGGCACGTTTGACGCAACTCAAGATTATGGAGTTGGGTTGGGAAGTTCTCCCCCACCCACCATGTTCTCCAGATATGGCACCATCATATTACCTTCTTTTCATTTGCTGCAACACCATCTT